TCTCGGCAAATTACGAGGTGCTGGTTTGGGCGAAACTGCATTTGCGAACTGCATCGCTTGCGACTCTCGCGATGCTGAGCACGTGCGCCCATATCTGACGCGAGGAGTGAAAGTTTGAGCAGAGGTTCGGGGAAAATGAAGTTTGACACAAGGTTAGTCTGACGCGAGGACCGTAAGGATCCGCTTTGAGTCCTTCGTCAAAATCATGCAGGTGCATTGCACGTAATAAAGTCTGATCCGAAACAAGAATCAGATACTACAAACATGTATGCCTGATCAGTCGGGCTTGAAAATAAAAAATGCCTGAAAAAATATGCCACGCCCAAAACCTGACCCTGAAAAACAGGGTTCTCACATGGGCGACCCTGAGCAATCAGCCTCCCTAAAACCAATCTGAGGCCTTGGTTGTCAGGCAGTTAGAGCTGGGTGGGTGAGTCAAGATAGTGTTTAACTAGGTAGAAGATTAGTGAGGAGAAAAGGGGTTGACTAGAGAAGAGAGAGAGTTATAAGAGAAGAACTTTCCCCTCTACAGTAAGAACCAGTATGTATAGTACACCTACCTAGCCTCTATATATGTATATATGTGTATATGTATATATATATGTGTGTGTGTGTGTGTGTTGACACACCCCCTTGGTTTGGTAGGCGCTACTCACAGAAGCAAGAGACCAGGGCAGCACTACTAGTCTGTCCACCGGTATGAGTAGTAAGAAAATGTCATAACACACCACACACCCAGCACCTCCAAGACCAACACCCCCAAGCCCTAGCACCCCCATACCTAGCAGCAGCGGTGGCATTCTACAGCCGGTTTGATCCCTCGGCGGACGAGGCGACGACGTCGGCGATGGCGGCACCAGTAGCGGCAGCGGTAGCGGTGGCGGCGACAGAGCCAGCGGCACCCGGCGGCGTGGCACGTCTCTGCGATGACGGGGAAGGACGGCTTGATAAAGCCATCAGTTGCTCTGGGGAGGGGGGGTGGGCCTTCGAGGGCTTGTGCAGTTAGCGGGCCTTGGGGCGGCTAGAGCGCGTTGGCTGGCGCGCGGTCTGGCGCGCTAGTTGGTGGCGCTAAACCAGCGCGCTAGAGGCTGCCGTCCGTGCGCTGGCGCATCAAGGCTGCCACGGCAGCGAGGCCCCCATGACAGCGCCAAGAGGCCGCGCTACGGCGGTGCGACAGTGGGAGGAGAGGAGAGAGTGCGATGCGGAAGCGTGGGGAGAAGGCCCGGCAGAATGGACCTGCTGTGAAACCATGTCGAGATAGGGTTTAGCTAGGTAGAAGATTAGCGAGGAGAAAAGGGGTTGACTAGAGAAGAGAGAGAAGTACAAGAGAAGAGTTGTCCCCTCTACAGTAAGAACCAATACGTGTAGTACACCTACCGTAATCCCCCAGCTATTGGACCCCATTGTCTTCTTAGAATTACAGATAAAAGTGTCTAGGTGAACATTAATGCGGATGTAAATTATTAGGACCCATGTTGACGTATTTTACACTTGAGTATCTATTGTTCTGGATGTACAACCTTTCTACATAGGGAGGTATATTTGTACCACGGAAACAGAACCCTCTTGTCGTCATCTTTCCGTGCCACCTGAATGACATGCGTCAAATTTCCAGCAGCGACGGCTGCAAATTTTCGTGTGCTGGCATGGCGAGATGGCATCTTGACTGTCATCACCCCTGCTGCTAGAATGATTGTCCAGTTACGGGGAATCTGCCATCCCTGATTTCACGTATCATTTCATTTCAGTAAAGACTTACAGTGCAAAAACCAACACGAAAACAAGGCCAGGGGGTCTTGAAATGTTAAATGCCAAAAAGCAGGTCCTCACGAGGTCTGCCAAAATAAATGATCCCACCCCCGGGTAAAGGACCCAGGGACTTTCTTACCGGCGGGTCCATTATCCGGGGGAATACGGTACCTAGCCTACATGTATATATACATATATATATATATATATATATGTTGACAGTTATGGGTGTCAGCATCTTGGTACATGTGAAATGTCCACAGTAGTGGGGGTGTAATTTAGTTGTATCTGCAGGCGAAGGTTCTTGGTGTCGAGGAGGACTAATTTCCCTGCTGTCATGGTAATATCGTGTCGGTGGCGGTCGGCGAAGGGCGTATCACATAGCAGGTGAGTGCACCCACAACCCCCCAGGCCATCCTATCAGTAGCCCTTCCCCATGACCATTAGGTCGATCCCCGTGTTCCTTCTAACACAAGGTGGTATGAAATTACATAGTAAGAAGTGAGAATTGTCTTAGCGAGAATGATAACTTAATAAGCAGTATCAAATGAGGCCTAGTACTCAGTTTTAGATGGGGGTGAATTAAACATACAATCTCGGCATAGCTCGGAGATATGGTGGGAAAATGGATTCGGGGTGCACTCGAAGAGCACGAATGTGCATGAAAAAAATTGTGGCTCTGGCGTATAAAATAGCACGAGAACACCTTTATAGTGGTGTATGCTTCACGATAGTGAAACCCAAGATACTCCCCCCTCCGAATTATGGCCTTAGTGAATATCGCCAACGCACTTCTTCGATGCAAATAGGTTAGGTGCTGCATATGGAGAAGAGCTTGGGCGGGTAAAATTCTTCTCGAGCCGATAATTTAATTTCTTTCATAAATGTTTCTACTCCCGCTCAAATTCTACTCGATGATCGAACGGCTGTTGTGGTGGTAATCCTATACGTATGAAATCGAGCCGTCAATTTGTGAGTTGAGTCGTGCCTACCAGTCCTGTCCGAACCATAAATTTGTATGGGCATGCCCTGTAAACATTAAATGCAACTCTGATAGCAACTGGTATGCCGTCGATAAGGTATGCATCCATCTTGGTTAAGCACCAAAGTAAGGGTAACCCCGTCCATCCATGAATATTTTAACGATGGCCCCTTGAAATCTTTTTTTTTGTTTTCTTCAAAGTGATCCACGACTGCTCTGTCCTAATTTCTCCATGGTTTGGTCGACTGCTAGGGGGGTATGCTGTAGGAGAAGAAATAAATCATTCCCAAAAGTTCAATCATTAGGTCCAAGAACCTTACAAGGAATAAGAAGAGCAAGAAATAGGTTGGAGAGGGAAGAGAGGGGTAAGAGGGAAGGTCCTAAGAGAGTCCCCAACCAAGGAAACCCCATACGAACAAAGATTTCCTCCCTTTAGGAACACCAACCTTGACATTTGTCCCTTCCCAACTTATCTAACCAAATTGGTCACACTTGCCAACCTTGCTTGGTTTTCCCCAACCAATTTTCAGTTGCTACAATAGAGTGACAAATTTCTCCAAACCCCAATGGTCTCTATTCCATATTGAGTCACCCCACAACTCCACATTGTAACAGCCGCAATCATCACACAAGCTTATGAACTTTGAAACTTCGTAGCTTTTGCGTTCTTGTTCTGATTGAGAGATTCTTGATCTGATGAAATGCTCTTTTTGAGGGGTAGTCATTTAAAATACTGTCAAGCAGGATATCGTTACACACGTACACAAACTCCAAAACATACCACACACAAGACTTTCGCACATGCTGAAACCATACATACAAGTTGAAATCATGGGATGGGAGGCAGACAGAATGTGATGGCATATGATGACATCACACAATAATACATAACTATTCTGCACTGTAAATCCGCGTTGCAAATACAGATCATGGTTAATGGCTTTGGCTGCTTGCTTATAGGTGTTCAGTAAAATTTCAGCAAACTGTTGGGCTTGTGGGACTGGATTTTCCTAGTACGAAGCAATGGGTATTGTTGGATCGTGAATGAGGTAAAATACCAATTGGCGGGTGGTGGGGCATTGTTGTGTGCAAACTCAACCAATGGCAGTTGCCACATCATGGCATGTGGCATGAATGAGGAGCTTCATTGTGTGATTGGCCCATTCAGTTTGACCATCAGTTTTATATGGTAAGATGATGAGAGCTGTTGATGTATCCGAGGAAGTTAAGCAGTATTTACAGGTGAAGTGTGTATGTCAATTGGAAATAATGACGTAAAGTTTAATGACAGTCGAGACGAAGATTCGTGCCATTTCTTTGGCTGAGATGCTTTCCAGGCAAAGATGAAGTTTCACGCAACAAAGTGTGCCATTTTTGTCAACTTGTCAACGACGACAATGATCACATCCTTATAGCCATCCTTTGCAGGCAAACCCATAATGAATTCCATCATCACTTGCTGCCACACTCGCTCAGATGGTGGGATTGGCTGCTGCTGTCACAAGATTGAAATGTTTTGCGAGAAAGTTGCACGATCGATCGATACATGGCGATTTTATACTTCCACAGTACATCAGGTAACCAAGTTTATCCTAACAAAAAAAAAAAACCATTTCAAAATATAGAATCACTCTGCGTATAGCCACATAAGGCTATTGGCTTTAAGGGATTACGACAGGATGACGCTAGATAGCATTAGCTAGTATATTATAAGCCTAGTCGATGATATAAATACTGTATAATGACAGGATAATACAAAGGATAATGGAAAATAAGGAATAGGAAACCAGATGAGATGAGATAAACTCCAAATGGATCATGATAAAAGGGAGAATGCTGATAGAGAACGAATATAGAAATGAGAAAGAAGTGTAACATGGTCGCACTCTCTCAGCAATTGTCTTGCTAACTGCTGCCTTGGTGGCCTCATCGTGTCTCGTTTTTCCTACTCTTGATGCCTTGAGCTATACTAGTGTGGGCTCCTTGCACTGGTAACTTTGTTTGGTGCATTTTTAAACCAAAAGATGATGAATCCCTCTCTATACGTAATACACTTCCATAGATGTTGCCAACTGCTGATAGGCTCCTAGTGTAAAGATTATATTAGTTTGGTATCCGAGGGTGAATAGACATATTAACAATGAGGAGGTTTGAGCGATGGTGATGGAATTAAAATGAGTGATTGGGCGAGTGAGAGGGTATGCAATGCTGACAGCACCATTTGTATGTAGCCGTGTATTGAAAATCGGATTCCATAAAGTCCAACCAACAAATCTGTCGAGAGTTAAGCATAGGCTATGCACATAGGTAATGCTGGCACAAGTTCTTTCCAGGTTTTGCTGGTGAACTTAGGGTCTCGGTCGGAGATGACTGTGGTTGGAACACCATGCCGTAAGATGATGTATCAAACGAACAGTTGTGTTGTCTCCTCGGTGCGTGCTGTCGTGTGTGTTGGGATGAATTGTCCCATCTTGGAGAAATTGTTGATGACAACAAGGACCGTGTTATGGCCGCTGTTGGTAGGTGGTAGCCTGGTTAAAAGTCCAGGCTGACCACTTGCCATGGCTGTTCTAGGATAGGAAGAGGTTGTAGCAGTCCTGCATTCTTCTGCTTACATCTCTTCATCCGCTGGCACGTGTCGCATAAGGTGACAAACCTTTATTACTAATGAAATGTTCCGCATATCGGACGTCGTGGTACTCTTCGAGTAGTAAATGGTGCAAAGGTGGGTAGCTGGGTACCTAGATTTCGGTTGATCCTTTCCGGTATGCGATACCACGGTCTCACTATAGCAGATGGCGTTTTTCGTCCAAGGGAATCTCGGGGTCGATGGTGTACCCGTGTGTGAAGAGTCTCTTGAGGAGAAAGTAACCCTTCAACGTGGATAGCAACAACGTGTGCAAGCCGGTTAAGCGTGTCTTTTTTCTTTTTTTTGTCCCGTCTCATACATGATGTTCCAGTGGAAATGCATATGTAGGAAGTCTATCCACCGGACCTGCTGCGTGGAGGTGTTTGGCACTATCTTCAAAACTTTTAAGGCTGTAGTGGTCAGTGTAGACATTTTGTTTTTGTCCTTTGAGATAACAATTCCATATTTTAAAGGCGATGACAATAGCAAGGGCATCCTTGTCATATATTGGGTAGTCAACTCTGCCCAGTGTAATTTTTCATTAAGGTAGGCGATTGGTTGCAGTCCGTTCCCCTAGTTTTGCATTAAGACTGCTCCCAATGCCCGATCGTTGCCGTTAGCTTCAATGATGTGGTCATGTTCGAGATCTGGCCAGATGAGTATGGTGCGCACGTGAGTGCTTGATTCAGCTACTCCGCGGCTTCTTGGTGTTTAGGCTCCCACTGGTAGTGCATATCTTACTTCAGCAGATTTATGAGTGGTGTGGCAATTTTTGCATACTGTGCCACGAACCTGTTGTAATAATTGGCGAAGCCTAGGAACTGTAGTAACTCCTTCACGTTCTTGGGTGCCTTCCACATACAAATGGCTTCGATCTTGGGGTCGACGTGGAATCCTTGAGTGCTAACCATGTGTCCAAGGAACTGGACTATCTTGAGGGTGATTTCGTTCTTGCATAGTTTGACATAGAAGTGTTTCCGTCGAAGGATCGCAAAGGCGCGTCGGATGTGTTCGACATCATATTTCATATTGCGCGAGTACATAAGGATATTGTCCAAGTACAACACCATGCACTCGTATATTAATGGGTAGAGGATGTGGTTCATCTCGACTTGGAAGGTTGCCGGTGCGTTGGTGAGTCCGAACGCTATCACCAGATACTCGTACGATCCATAGCGGGTTTGAAAGGCAATTTTGTGGATGGAGTTGTCTGCCATTCTTATCTGCCAATATCAGGGTCGCAAATATAGTCTGGAGAATACAATAGCTCCCAAAAATTGGTCAAGCCGGTCAACAATCAGTGGAATATGATATATATATATATACATATATATGTATATTCTATGGTCTAATTGTTGAGAGCTCTGTAGTCGATGCACATGCGCAGGCTTCCGTCCGGTTTCAGTGTGAAGAGTACCGGCTTCCGTACGGCGATTTGGATGGTTAGATGAGTCCCTTCTCGATTAGGTACTCGATTTGTTTCTTCATATTGGCTAGCTAGGTAGGGCTGAGCTAGTATGGTGCTCGGAAGGTTGGCTTCGAACTTGGTTCCTCCGTGATTCCGTGTTCATGCGTTCGATATGGTGGTAGCTTGTGTGGAAGATTGTCGGTAAGAATATCCTAGAACCCATTAAGTAATTTCTTGATATTTTTGTGGAGGTTGCAGGGCTTCCTTTCCATCGTCTTCACGTCCTTCTCCAATTTGGTGGGTTTATCCACAGGGATATCTCATGTATCTTCCCAGCTCGGAAATCGGACTCTCCTTCCTCGGTTGTAAATGCTTGTTGTGCAGTTGATCTCGGGGTTGAATTTCTTGAGGTATTCCTGCCCGAAGATCAAGTCAATCCTTTTTGCTGTATGTTGGTGATAGGAAGGGCAGGTCTCTAGTGAAGTGGTTTAATTTGTAGATGTAGCACTGCTTCTCCGTAGACTCATAACTTGCTGCCATCCACTATCATTGCAGAGAATTGCATAGGGCTTGCACTACTCTGGTGCCTTGTCGCATATGGTGTGCGATGCTCCGCTGTCCATAAGTGCTTGGAGGCATTGTCCTTTGCAGATGACCTTGAGCAACAAAGGCAGGTGTTGCTCAGAGTACCCAAAGCTAGTTTCATTGATAGGATCATAGGGTACATCCCAATATTCCATGCACGCCTATTCTTTGCTATCTAAACCTGAGCTAGCAGCTGGACGTGGCTTCTTCGAGAAGGATTCTTCCCCAGCCGCGCCTTGAAGTGCGAGGGCTCCCCACATAGGTGCTTCACCATATAGATCCATATGCCATCGACTATGTTTGCCGCAGGGGGAGGAACCGCGTTGACGTAAGTGTAAGTGGATCCATAAGATGCCATCTCTGCCTCCATAGGCTGTATCCACTGGGCTGCCCATGGCCCCAAGACCGCCTCAGCGTACGAGCATGGGGTAGAGATATCCAGGGCGTCCAAGTCACCCCTAGAGGACACTAGCATGGCGCTGATATGAGGTATAGCAGCCGCAAGGAAAGCTAGCTCGTATTGCCTATCCTCTAGAACGTCACTGCGAAGGGCAGGTGCACCCCCTACGGACGGAGAATGGGCAGGGTCAGAGACCAAAGCGGAGGCGTAGTCAAGGCGATGGCGTGCACCTAAGTCAGCGGCAGCAGCGACAAGGGCAGAGACACCAGCTGGAGGATCTGTAGGGTCCGTAACAGGAGAGGGAAGCAAGCGGGAGCCGACCGGATGAGCAATGCAAGTAGATTCACAGGGAGGAATAGAGGACAGGGGTAGGGACGACTGGGAAGGTAATGGTGGAACAGGGACTGGAGGAGTACGAGAACGAAGGACCATAGGGTGGACACGAGCACGAGAAGAGACGGGACGACCACCAAGGGGACGACGCACCCACGGGTGGGCAAGTGGGAATGGCACAGGGGACGGAGGAGAACAAGGGGGGAAACGAGCCGGAGACGAGTCTGGGGGAGGGAATAGCGGGCTGTATAGACGGGGGCAGGCGGGAGGGGTGACACTTTGGGAGGGACGAGCGGGCGGTCAGGGGAATCAAAGGAAAGGCCGAGGAGACGAAGGGCAGACTACAGCAGCTGCTGCTTCTGCTGCTGGCGCTCCCAGCCCACGCCAGAATCCCCAGCCCCCCCACTGCTACTGCCAATGTTCTCCGAGCCAGCACCCCAAGGATTAGAACCCCCAGAGCCAGCACCCCCAGGACTAGCACCCCCAGAAACAACACCCCCCGAGTCAGCACACCCAGAACTAGTAGCCCCAAAACCAGCCCAGAATCACCACCCTTTGAACCAGCCCCTTTTGAATCACCACCCCCAAGGCCCACGGTCCCCCACCGCTGCTGCTGCTTTGCATCTACGGCGACGGCTGCTGCTGCTGCTGCTGCTGCTGCGGTGGCGGCAGCAGTGGTGGAGGCTGCTGAGGTGTTTAGGGCACCGGGGCTGGGGGGAGAGGCGCCGCCACTACGACAGGCGCACCCCCAGCCACGGGGCTCCCAAAGTCAGTAGACTCCCCCACAGACCCAACCGAGGGGAGGGGAGTGGCGTGGGAGATACCAGACGGGGCCGAATGGGAGGGGAGCGGCAGGTGGAGAGGGGCGAGGAAGAGAGGAGGAGGAGGAACAGGAGTGCCACGGTGAGGGAAGCGAGCATAGAAAGAGACACACTCATCAATGTAACGTTACGGGAACGAAAGAAGCAGTGCTGCACTTGGTGGTAGAACGGCCAAACAGGAGCGTTGGGTGGGAACCCGAGGAAGACACAGGGGAGGATGCGGGTCGAGAGCTTGTCCAAGCTGGTGTCGTGGACGTGAGCCAGCAGCCCCAGCCCCAGACCTCCCTTCCCACCCTTCCGCTCCTCCCCCATCTCAGTGCCATTGTCGTGATTTTACACATCTTGCTATCCTCCTCCACCACCTCCTTTGTCACCCCAACTTCGCCACCCTCCATAAGGCCATCGCCTCCGAGCTCCTTAATGGCCTTCCCCTCACACTCCCCCCACTCCCTCCCTCCCCAGCTCCTCCCTGAACCATCTGTGTCCAGAGCAAGCTCAAGCAGCTTCCTCACGAGAGTCACCCCTCCTACGCCCCAGAGCTCCTGGACCTTGTCCACATGGACCTCTGGGGCCCCAACCCTTTCCCCCCCGTCAAGGGCACCGCTACAGTACCTCCTCGTCCTTGTCGATGATTCCTCCTAGTACACCTCGGTCTCCCTCCTTCGCACGAAGGCCGAGGCACCGGCCTTTTATCATCGCCTGGGCCGAGCAGGCGCGCACCCATTTCGGTCGCCCCGTTCGCCGCTTCCATTCCGATGGCAGTGGAGAATTCCTCAATCACCACCTCTCTTCCTATTTCTTCACCCATGGTATTCACCACACCTACACCCTCCCTCACTCCCTTAGCAGAATGGTATAGCAGAGGCTCGTATTTGAGAAGTAACAAGGATCTCCAGGTGTCTCCTTTTTCACGCCTCCTGCCTACCTTCTCTTTGGGGTTACGCCCTTCTGTACGCCGTCCTCCTCACTAACATGTATCCCCACCCTCTCCTCCCCTCCACCACCCCCATCGAGCTTTGGACGTCAACTAAACCCGATGTCTCCTCCCTGCGCGTCTGGGGTTCCCGGGCATATGTTCTCATACACCCGGCCGACCGCTCACGCTCAGCAGGAAAGCTCACCTCCAAGAGTCTACCCTGTGTCTTCCTCGTCCACAACACCTCCTCCCTTGACTACTTGTTCCAGCACCTACCACAGCAGCTCCCGCCGCCGCACCAGTACCTTCCTCAGTCACTGTACTCGTGGCGTCAGGATCAGCAGAAGTAGTTGTCCTAGTCAAGCAGCAGTGCAGTCGAGTAGCAGAGTCGGAGTTGTTGTGGTATATTTCATACGTAGCATTTCTGTAAGTCGTTTATCGATAGATAGTGTCGAATCTTACTGTAGAAGATAAGTCCGTAGGATGACGTCAGCAAATAGCGCTCGTCATAGAACAGTCGTTTCAGTCACGCGAATAGTCGCACCTCTTCATTATCATTTAGGGCGCACAGCGCGATAGTGACGAACAGGTACTTTTCCTAGAGCTATAAATCTTTGTTCCGTCCTTTTTATTATTAACCTTGAGATTTCAACTTTGAGAACTTTGAGACTTAACTTCTGCAGAAACATATACTCAGGTTCACTTTTACAAGACTTCCGCTGTCTTACTAGTCTACCATTCCAGTAAAGATCCTAGGCTGACACTTGAGGTTTTCCAAGTGTTCGTGTTTGCAAATTCTATACTTAGTCTTCTGCAACACCTGTCAAAATATTACATGGTATGAGAGCTATCTGGAATTAAGACTACTGTCAACAATGATTGGTTCATCACCAGCACCGTCTGCCGGATCAACTTCCGGAACTACTGGAGTACATGTCTCCACGACCGCCACTGGTCTCTCAGCCTCTGGACCGTTTCCACCGGCTCATGCGCATATTGGTATGCAGCAGCAGCAGCAGAATCCGTCTTCTGCCAATATTCCAGGGATTTCATTAACTGCCCCTGCAGCACAACACCAACAAACACAGTCAACAGCACAACAACAAGCATCAGTTCAAGAACAGTCATCAGTACAGCAACAAGCAACAGCACAACCACCGTTTTCAACGCAGTCAATATCATCGGCGTTCAGTGGAATGAGCCTTGACGGCTCGATTTATATGCGTGGAGCCACAGCTCCAAGTACTGGTTCGTTTTCTTTCTCACCTTTTGCACAACAGTCGCAGTCACAGCAGCAGCAGCATCCCTTTTACATCTTTGGGCGTCCCCCTGCTCAGCAACAGCAACAACAACAACAGCAACAACAACAACAGTATCAACAGCCACATCAATTTCAGCAGCAGTAACAGCACCAACAGCAACAGCAGCAACAGCAACAGCCTCAACAACCGGGTATTATTTTTCAACCACCAAATTTGCTTAACAGTACACAGACCAAGACAACCATACCTTTTAACGGAGTGGATTTTTACTCCTGGGAGTTTCGAGTTTGAGCTTCTTGCACAGTCCGCTGGGCTATGGCCGTTCTTCACCGGCGAGTTTACTTATCCTGTCGTGGGAACACAACTGGAGCAGCAAAGTTTCTTACACGCCTCTCTCGGGGCGTATACAGTTCTTGTTCGGAACCTGTCGCCGAAGGAGCAGCTCGGCGTCCGATCGTTTCATTCAAGCTTTACACCAGCTGAAACTGCATAGAACCACTTGAAGGGGGTATACATGGCAAAAGATACAATAACAGTGAGTAAGATTCTTTCGCAGTTGACAAGTGTGCAGATGATGACAAACGAGAACGTCATGGATTACGTCAACCGCGTCCATACACTACATGATCAACTGGAAAAGAGTGGGAGATACTTCCCTTGTGAGATGTATCTCACTGTCCTTCTTGCTGGCCTTGGACCCGAATGGCGACAGACGCGCGCCTTCCTGCGCATGAATCAAAATCTCTCGGAAGCTGAGATTTCTTCGTATCTTCAAGCCGAATAGCAAGATCTGGACCTGCAGTCACAACGCAATCAGAAAATGGGGATACACTTGAGTTTTTACTCAAATCCAGAATCACAGCAACGACTTCCCCCGAAATATCCCTTCTGCCATTTCTGCAAGAAACCAGGACACACTTACCAGAATCGTCGCAGTCGACATCAAAATCGACGCAGCACTTCACAGCCTTATCATCACTCGCAGCAGTTACCGAAGCCACATCAGCCCACGCAGCAGTCGACGACCCAAATGCAGCAGATGCCGAAAACGCCGCAGAATCCGTCGCCGTCACAGCATCGTCCTCCGGTCTTTGCATCTGCAACATTAGGGAAAGGGGTCTTTGGATGCATTACCACAGTTGATGTTTCAGAAACAGATTTCGAGACACGACTTGAAGAAACCACAAGTGCTGAAGGCATTCCCTTACCTCAAGTTTACGCTAACCTTGCTCGAATCATTTCAGGTCCGAATACTTGGTATCTCGACAGCTGTTGCGGTTGGCACATGTGTTTCGCTGAGACAAGCTTTATCACCAACCACGCCCGCTTCGTCGTCCGATACCTGTCACAGTTGCAAACGGACAAACTATTATGGCAAGATCCATTGGAAGTGTTATGCTCGAATCAGTCGACACGGGATATTCACTACACGTTACCAATGGTCTTATCGTCGCTGGGCTTGGCTTCAATCTTCTCTCCACGGCTCAGCTCCTGGCACACAAAATACGCACTCAAGGCAACTGTGATACAACGGATCAGGAGTTATGGCACAATTATCCAATACTTACCTCGGTCGTGCCGCCACTCAACATGGCGTGTCCGTTCTTCAGTTCGCAGCACAGGGAACTTCTGGAGATTCAGAACGCGTCCTTGCACTTGGTCCCTGGGATCACACCAAAGAAACAGATTATCAACATGTGGATATTGATTTTCGAGAAACTACTGTACCAACGGCTTCTCGAACTGCAACTGCTATACTTACCGCACTGGATACTTGGGAGTTCAATACAGCCGATGAAGGCGCCAATGCTTGGCGAACGTTTTATACAACCTGTGAGGCTCTTCAAGGGACTCCAGCTCCACTTTGGAGGGAAATTAGTGGACTAGCAGTTGATGAATCTGACGTCGTTGAAGAAGCCGAAAAGGAGAACCCTGGGATGTTCAGGGTTCCAGATTACTAACCAGGGTAGACAATTTTTGAAATTTGAGCCCTCAGGGTAATTTTTTTTTTTTAGTCGACAGCTCAGGGGGGGGTGGGTTTTAAACGTCAGGCCTGATGCTAGGGCGAGAGAGGAGCGGGGGGTATGTAGGGCGGAAGCGTGGAGGCTAGGACATAACCTAGCGATCATATCATGTCTGTTGGAAATATCTCGATGACTTGAGCGTTTCTGAAGCGTAACACTACACTCGAGGAAAGTCGCAACAGGTACGCGAGACAACGGAGGTTACACGAGGAGATGGACGAAAGAACACGAAAGGACGAAAAGGACTCGAAGGGTCGCAACCGGAGGTTGCGAGTGACCGTTACAACTGCAAGGGTGGTAACCGAACCGACAATCGAGTCGCTGTGCGACTCGATAACCGTTCCTTCAACTGTATTCTACAACTGCTTTACTTTCCTATTTTCAATATATTGCTGTATGCTTGTTTCTTTTAATCAATCACTTTCTCTCACATACTAGTGGGTGGTGTCAACTTATACATATTATCTATGTAGAAGTTATAGGCTAGACTGAGGTATGCTTCTAGTGAGTACAACCAACTAGTATTTGTTCTAGGTTTCCACCTCTAGTAATCATTCGTTTCTACGTTAACATGGTATCACGCTTAGGTTAGGATCCCCCCGCCTACCGCTTCCGCCCGTCGCGCCTCCTAGGCCCCGTCGCGCCCCCTAGGCCCCGTCGCGCCCCCCCTGGGCCCCGTCGCGCTCGTTAGGCCCCGTCGCGCCCCCCCTGGGCCCCGTCGTGCCCGCTGGGCCCCGTCGCGCCTCCTAGGCCCCGTCGCGCTCCCCCTGGGCCCCGTCGCGCCCACTGGGTCCCGTCGCGACCCCTAGGCCCTAACGCGCCCCCGCTGGGCCCCGTTGCGCCTCCTAGGCCCCGTCGCGCCCCCCATGGGCCCCGTCGAGCCCGCTGAGCCCCGTCGTGCCTCCTAGGCATCGTCGCGCCTCCTAAGCCCCGTCGCGTCCCCCCCCTCTGGGCCCCGTCGCGCCCGTTCGGCCCCGTCGCGCCCCTCCTAGGCCCCGTCGCGCCCGCTGGGCCCCTTCGCGCTTCCTAGGCCCCGTCGCGCCTGCTAGGCCCCGTCGCGCCCCCCCTGGGCCCCGTCGCGCCCGTTAGGCCCCGTCGCGGCCCCCCTGGGCCCCGTCGTGCCCGCTGGTCCCCGTCGCGCCTCCTCGGCCCCGTCGCGCCCCCCTGGGCCCCGTCGTGCCCGCTGGGCCCCGTCGCGCCCCTTAGGCCCCGTCGCGCCCGCTGGCCCCTGTCGCGCCTGCTGTTAGCGCTCGCCCGCCTGGCCTCCTCCTAGTGCCGCTCGGCCTCCTCCTAGTGCCGCCCGGCCTCCTCCTAGTGCCGCCCGGCCTCCTCCTAGTGCCGCCCGGCCCCTTCCTAGCGCCGCCCGGCCTCTCCTCAGCGCTGCCCGGCCCCTCCTCGTGCCCGACCGGCCCCAGCAGCACCAGCCTGGCCCCTCCCAGCACCAGCCCGGCCCTAGAGCACCTGCCCGCCTCCCCTGCTCGGCCTGCCGTGTCCTCTCGGGCCCTGTGTCTTCTGCTTGCCTGCGCTGGGACGCCTAGCTGCTGCCCTACTGGAGAGTGCTGCCGCCGTGTCCCCGCGCCGCTGTGCTCCTGTGCCGCTGAGGAGCTGTGCTGCTGTGCCGCTGTGTCGCTGAGGAGCTGTGCCGCTGACCCTGCACGATGGCTGACTTTGTGCTCCGCCTGGACGCTGAGGGCCACGCGGTTGACTTCGCCGCCTGGCTCTCCGATCTTCGCCGCCAGCTTACAGGTCAGCGCCAGGATGGCCACTCTCTGGTTGTCCATGCTGATGGCTTGCTCCCCCGTCCCCCTGCACCTACTCCCCTCCCTGCTGACCCCTCCTCTGATGACCGTGAGGCTTTCTCTACTGCTGCGCTAGCCTGTGCGGTCTGGGACTCACGCGATGCAGTAGCTCAGGTTGCTATTAGTCACGCCCTCCCTGTGTCTGAGCGCTCGCGTTTTGCTACTGTTGAAACGGCCAAAGCTTATTTAGACGCCGTTATTGCTCGCTATTCCACCCCTGCCTCCGCTTCTGCTGGCCGCTTGCTCTTTCCGATGCTGTTCCCAGACCTGGCTGCCTTCCCTACTGTCGCAGATTTTGCCACTCATTTGCGTGCCCTAGAGACTCGCTATCGCACTGCCAGCACTGCTGCCCAGCTCACTGCGCTCCCCCCTCCTTTCTGCATGACGCTCTATTTTATCGCTATGCGCCTGCCAGACCGCCTCGCTAGTGCTCGCGACCACTTTCTTAGCCAGCACCCGGGTGACCTCACCCTGACCGCCTTTGTCGACACCCTCACTGAGATCGAGACTCGCCAGCGCACTATCGCTCAGTCGAGCGGTGCGCCGGCAGTCTCTATCTTTCACGGTTGTGCCCCATCCCCGTGCACGTTCACTGACGTTTCGGCTGCGGTCGCCACGGCGACCCCTCTTACCGAGACGGCTGCTGCTGTCCACCCGTAGCAGCGCTCGCGTCGCGGTGGCCGTGGCTGCCAGGGAGGTAGGGGTGGTGACGCAGGTGGTAGTGGTCGTGG